TTTGTTGGTGGTGTAGGTAGAGGTGTTGGTCTTGGTGGTGGATCTAGCGATGGTGACATTGGAGGCGAGGGTAGTGTTGGTGCTTGCAGTGAAGGTGGTGCGATGGTTGTGGGTGAGACGGTGTGGGGTGGCGATATTTTTGACAAATTATTTGATATTGTGACCAATAAATAATAAATAATACGTGACCAACATATAATATTTGACCTATAAATTGAGTTGTGACTTATAAAATTTGTGATTTATGATCGATGAATAAATTGTGATCTATAAAAAATTTTATTCGTGATCGTGAAATAATTTGTGATTAATAAAATTTTTAATTCGATTTGTGACGAATTAATTCGATAATTTGTGACCAAATAATATAGAATTGTGACTTTAATATATTTAATTAATAAAATATATTTTTTGATAAATCTAATTAATATCTCATTTTTGAAATTTCAAACCTTGTTTTTTAATTTTGAAACGGACCATACTTAATTTTTCAAATATGAAATTTTCCTTTCTTATTTTATTTTTAGAGATCTTACTCTAAATGATTGTCAAGAATAGCATTTGCAAAGTAAAGATGTGAAGGGTGTTTCTCCTTGTACTATCCACGTCGAACTGTAAAACGTATAGTCCCCTCACATGAGGTTAGGACCCCCTCAGGTGAGGGGGTTGTAAACGGTGCTGACATGTGAATACTATGCACCTTTATATAATTTTCAATTGTTGAGCAAGAAAATTTATGTTTTTTTTAATTGAAACCATAATAAACGTCTGTTCTGTAATGTTTATGAAAAAAGTTACTTCTCAAACTAAAAAAAAAACTAATTTGAACATATTTGAATAATCTTTAAGTACTTTGTTTGATTAAAAAATAAATAAAAATCAAATAAAGTTGGTAGGTGACTTCCTTGAGAAAACCTTCTACAAAAAGGTCAAAAGAAGGCCGCTAGTAATCTCTCGAAAAATTCTTTGGTAATCGATTGATAATTCGTAAATAAACTTATCTTTAGGAAAATTATATATATCGAGACATAAAGTTCACACTAAATACTCTATTTTATTATAGTAGTTTAGAAGTCAGACTTTTTCTTTGATTTCGTACACAAATATCAAATAAATAATTTGGCAGTAAGCAATTAAATATCAAACCACCTAAATTGGTAGCTATTAAAAACTCATATGGGTGGCCAAAGTTCATAGAAAAAAATATGAAAATATGTAAATTTTCGTTGATTGTAAATTCCAACTACTTTGACTTAGCATGCTACAGACAAAATTATTTGCATCAAATAATAATGCCCAAAGTGGGCCCAGAGGTTCCACCATATTTCTAAAACAATTCAGCAACTCTGGTACTGGTAGGAATGTTTGGATGGAGGATTAATGTGGTTGTTTTAAACTTTTAACTAAAAATTTGTTAAAACTAACTATGTTCAGTCAGTCGCTTAAATAAGAGTTTATTTTGTCTCGTTTTCTTTCATGTGTTTTTGCAAGAGAAACACGTTGAACAATGAGTGGCCATCGAGACTCGAAATTATATTTGTCAATATACTTATCCCTTATTTAATTTTCATTATTTTCAAAATACATTTTTCTTTTTCTTATTTTCAATCACACGTTCTTTAATAAAATATTATTGTACGCAAATTCAGAAATTTTCTTTATTTTTTAATCACACATTCTTCATTAAAATATTATTTCAAAATGCATTTTAGGAAAAAAAAAAAAAAAAAAAAAAAAAAAAAAACAAAGATCTCAAACGGGCTATTAGTAAAGTTTGGATCCAGCCTTGAATAAGGCTATACAGTACAATAATAGAATTTAAATTTATTTTAAAAATATTGTTCAATATTATAAAAACCACCTTACCTAACGTTACATAACTATTTTGTTAATTAATTATGTACAATACATATGCTATATATATATATATATATATATATATAAAATAAAAAAGAGCGAGAGCCCAACAGAATGAAAAAAGAAAACTTTTGAATTGAAAACTAATATTTATGGAATGAAATTAATGATCAAAATACAACAAAATATATGATTTTATTTATTATATTTTCTACCAATATGATTGTATGTCTTTCGGGTAAGATTTCAATCAAATCTCAATTACATTAATGGAAAATATATATATACCAACCTTTAATCGTGCCATGTGGATTCGTTAACTTTGACCATAGTCTTTCAATTTTTTCTACCAAATTAGAACCAAAACCCACCTAAATGGCCCAGCTACAAACTAACACGCATATATATATATATATATATATACACACACCAAGTGTATACATTTCCATCTTTTCTTACCAATCAAGCTTTAATTTGTCAAAGTGTACACATTTTCTTCAATAAGGTGCCGTCTCTTTCCAACTCCTTTATCACTCGTTTCGACTCCATATATTACATAAATTCGAGTTTCCAAAATTTTGTTTCATCACCAGATTTCTCGATCAAACCCTCCTCTAAAACAAGAAGAAAGGTCTACAAAATGAGATATGATGATCAGATCATTATAATTTATGATTTTCTTTTAGCCTTTCTTTCAATATCAATTATAATTCTTGTAGTCCTCTTACTTATTTTCTGCAAGAAGAAGCCAATTAAAGCTGAAGAAACTCTCCGGCCTGCAAAACGTTTTGCATGTTCTTATTCATTAATGGAAATTGACGCTGCCACGGAACGTTTCAATGACCGCAGAGTCATCGGAAAAGGCCACCTCGGAACCGTATACGCGGCTGTGATGCCGCCTAATGGAGAAATAGTGGCAGTGAAAAGGATTCATCCGTGGCTGGTGTTGAATAATCCAGGTTTTGGATTCTCTTCAAAATTAAAATGGCTTTCTTTAGCAGAAAACCCCCATTTAGTACCTGTCCTAGGATTCTCCGAGGCACCCGGAGAACGAATTATAGTAATGGAATTTGGAGGTATGTTGAGTTTGGATTTCTATTTGCATCAAAATTCCGATGGAGCGGCGCTTATGGATTGGCAACGGAGGTTAAGGATCGCGGCTGGGGTGGCTCGGGGGATCGAGTACTTGCATGAAGTGGTGGCGCCACCTATAATTCATGGTTGCATAAAGCCATCAAATATATTGATTGATGAAAAGTTTCGTGCCAAAATAAGTGATTATGGGCTATATTTCATGGCAGCTCGTGAAAGGCAAGGCCTTGTGGGGTACGTGGATGAAGAGTATTGGTTGGAAAAAAGAGGGGCTTCAAAGGAAAGTGATATCTATGGATTTGGTGTGGTTTTGTTGGAGCTTTTGAGTGGTAAAAAAAGTGAACAAGGGTTGCTTGTGAAATGGGCAATCCCTTTGATAAAAGGGATGAAATTTAGTGATTTATTGGACCCTAGACTTGCAATTCCTTGTGATATTAAGCCTCTTGTTAGATTAGCTAGGGTTGCTTTGGCTTGTGTTGGGAATTCTAGGAAAAGTAGGGTTTCAATTGTTCAAGTTGCAACAATTTTGAACAATTTAGAGATTGAGTTATAAGTTTTTGAGAAATGATTTTGTTGTGTATACCAATTGGAAAAATTGGATTTCCATCATTTGTTGATAACACGTTTAGAAATTCAAAATTGTTTATTTATGCTTGTATTTGTAATAATTTCTCAAAACGAGAGATTGTTAATGACATGATCAATGAATTAACGAAGTTAGAATTGTGGTTGAATGGTTTAGAGACTTGGACGGATGTTTTAGAAATAAATGAAGTCGTGAACTTTTCCTTTACAATTAGGGCTCATCGAAGCCATGTTCTCTATGTTCAAGAATAGGTCTATACTTCAAATGAAGTGTTGATTTGATTGACATTGATAAAATTGTATAAGTTGATGTTATATTTGAGAAAGTAAAATAAGTGAAGTATAATGTCGTAAATTGGTAGACTCCAACATGATTGTACAATTTGGTGATATTATGTTAAATAGGAATAGGTTTATCAAATAATTGATTATTGATTCGATAAATTTGACACTACGGTACAGAGTTGACGATGCTTTTGGAAAAAGTATAAAAAGTCAAGTTTATATAAGTAAAATTGTGGAATCTTTCATGTTGTTGGCTGAAATTTTGTGCCAGGAAAGTTGGGCGGCGGTTTGAATTGATTGAGTGGAAGCACTACCTCCAACCCCACCAAACCTCCACCACCACCCCAACTCCCGGCCAGTGGACCCTTTCCAATTTCATTAAATTTCCTTTTGGAGTATATTCTTGGCCTTTGGATTGTCTTTTCCAAATCATTTGGCTAAGCACGCTGTACTAAATACTTTTCTATGGTTTAGAACATACGTATGTTACATACAACCCACAAATAATGTATCTTTCTTTTGTCGTTGGAAATATTATTTTGTTTCTTTTGGAAAAGAACATAAATAATTGTAATCATGACTCATGAGGAGTAAGTAATTATACATAGTTTCTTAAAAGAATGGCACAATTGGGCAAATAAATTTGATCTACACAAAAATTCATATGTTACTCAAGAATCAGACACGATCATAAGCGTAGCAATCATGCTACACTAAAATAAATGTTGACATAAAATTTGATATAATGTCACATGACATTTTAATATTGGACACTATAAAATAAGTCAACTTTTTCATCAAATCATTTATTCTCACATGCAATTATGTCAGATTTCTTGTCAAATTCCTTTTGCGAGGTAGCTTTATCCTAGGCATAGATAGGGGGTAGTCCTGGGCTTTAAGTACGGGGCAGTCCAAGCCCAGTTAATTTTTACAGTTATACCTTTTTTTTTTTTTTTTTTTTCCCCTCAAGATCTTTTTAAACCTCCAGACCACTCGAATGTATGTACTGATACGAGACCAGTTTAGTAAGGGACAGTTGTCGGCCTACGGCAGAGTGCAGGCAAGGGTTGATTATAAATTTTTTTTTACACAAATAGCATCTAAATGGTACATTCGACAATATGAAGCACCTTTCTGCAAACTTTCACTAAGAGCACTCATTTATAATTGCAACAATTTGATAGTATTATTTTTTACTAAGATCGGTCGATGCCACGTGTGTTGCACGAGTTCTGTATTATTATTATTATTGTCATCATTATTTTCTTTTCTTTTTTAATTAGTGTATGAATTGAATGTTTTTCAAAAGTTGATGAAATGCTGAAATGGTTTGCCAAGTAAATATAAAAAATGATGCAATCATTTTATGTTAGAATACGCCATACATGTTTAGGTGTGTAAATGCAAGATGAATTACTTATTCATAGGCACATTTTAGCTATTTACTTGTTTGGATTAAAGTAAACTTATAGTAACTTTGACATGAACTGCAAAGATTATTGGTTTTTTTTCAATATTATATACTAGTAATACACATTCTCTATCAACAATGGAATCGCAGAGTATGCATCATTGGCTTGAAATTTCTATACAATGCTATCATTATCAATACCTTATGATCAAATCAATGTTGAAATTATCAAATAGATATGGGCAAGCAAATCAGTTGACTGCTGAAATTATCAGACATGGGCAAGCAAAATCAGTTGAATATTGAAGCTTTAGTCAGTGCAATTAAGGACTATTGAATGAAAACCATACCATAATATGTAAGAAAATAAATTCTAATACAAAATTATTACTACATTTATATACAATCGTAACATAGGAAACTTGGAGAAGTCATTTATATTCAAAATGAATGTTTAGGAAAAAGAATAAATTTCCATGGGAAACTAAATTCCATGAAGCACAAGAAATTTCAAGGGAAGCTACAAAGTGGTACGAGATACAGGAACATATGTTCTTGTTATTGGAGCTACACAAATTACTCTTTTGAACTTTCACACGAAATTTAAGTTCAACATCTTCATCTCCAGGTCTTTAAACACTTTGAATTGAATAACGAAATAAAATGGGAAGATATAGATTAATAAATTGAGCATATTTTAGGCTCATCGACTTTATCTTCCCAATTGGACATATCTCAGGTCAGACAGATGCAATTCAGCCAATGGTGACTTCAGGATTCTATAATATAACCAGCTCATTCCTTTCTCATCAACCTAAGCATCAGCAGATTAATAAATACATCTAAGTCAGAGTAAAGAGCACATTTAGCTAGCTTAAAATAAATAAAAGTTACTTTCAATTTCCAAACGTGTTTGGATAAATCAAATTTTTCTTACATTTAAGTTAAAAAAAAGTCATTTAAGTTTTTAAAGTAACATTTTTTTTTTTACTGTCAAAATAAGTAACTTTTACTTATTTCCAATTTTAATCAATAAAAAGTTATTTATTTACTGATAAGTAAACTTTTCAGGTATAGCCAAACATGGTCTTTGCCAATGTGAGATGCAGAAAAAAGCACAAAATTTCAAAATTACTTACCTTGTACACTTCCTTTGATTTCTCGTCATTTTTGAAATATTCAAGGGGTAACATTTTGTCTACCAATAACTATTTCTCCATGTGGCATTGGAGAATCGCTAATTAAATATCCACCCTCTAGCTAATCTACCTATTGAAATCTAGAGATAAAATTATACGTAAAACATATTTTTTTTTTCTGGGATGTTTTAAAATAAAGAATTAATATAAGCAATCCAATGGGCAACCGTTTTCGATCCTAACCTGGAAGGGAAAAAAATTATCAAATTCTAAATGAAAAAAAAAAATAAAAATAATAACAGAATGGAAAGAAAGACGAGGTCGAAAAAATTAAAAAATTAATGACCTTTTCAGAAAAACAAAGACCACAAGCTTCCTGATAATTGAAATTTCTCATCCATTTATTTATGTTATGCATATTAATCAGATAATTGGGCTATAGCTTTCAACGGGCATATTCATATAGTAGGGCATGATTCTTCTCAAGCTTAGAATACCCATAAATACTGGCTAGGGAAATTTTGGTATCTACATGTTATAAAAATATAAATTTCAGAAATACTGACCGATCTTAGAAATTCCTCCACTACTTTGAGATGTGGTAAATAATTTAGAAAATACTACATACCATAATCAGTCTCAGTGAACGTTTGTAACTGACGGATCCTGAAATAATCATGTAATCAAACAGATGTATTTTATGATTAGACTCAATGATGCCTTTGTAACTGACTTTTCATGAAATTATTCCTTGTAATATGTTGGCCATTAATGGCCTTCCCCAAACACCTTACAATTTAAAATACGTGATTAGTGTAATGACGCATCCCCATATTTGCTTTGCGAAATGTTATATATATGAAATGTATTTCAAGAAGCTGGTGTGGTCATGTTCGTGTTTAAAACCTGGTTCCCTGTTTACGTCGGTTTGTTCGTGCGAGTTAGAAGATTCACTATCAATTGAATATGTTATGGAATTATTTCCTGCTACGATACGCTCATATTGATCATATGTTACGTCAAGAGGCAGGACAGAGAATAACAAAACGACTTTGCATAAAATTTTCAAAGTGTACGAGTGAAGTTCGTGGATCTTAGCGATCACATGTTGGATTGCCTGAAAATGTTAAAACATTACGGATTTGACCAATCACTTTCAAATGAATATGTTTATGGCATTCTTTTGTTGTTACATTATATTTCATATTGCATCATTTATTATGTCGCGGACAGGATGGGGAATAACAATTAGTTGTTAGGGGGAACATTTAAATATATGAGTAAAATGTCTGGAGCTTAGAGCCCGTGATATTTTTCAAAAATAAGCATTGTGAAGTATTCTTGCCCGACGAGTGTAATCCTCATCACACAAGTTTATCTAAACTACATCATATGTCACTCAAGATAGTCTTCGTGTAGTAGTTAACCATTTTGTTTTGAGATCATAAATTGGCAAGACACCTTACACCAAAATACACAACCCCGTAAAAAAAAATAATAATAATAATAATAATACTAGAAACAACGGTGACTCCGTGTAACAAACTAAATTGTAAATAAAAACATACATATGATAATGCAATATAAAACATAGCACGAGCAATATAACATTGAAGCCATTTCAACGGCGTTTTCTTATCTGAGACTTCACACCGACTAGTGATGTGAACATAGTATACCACTACAAAAAAGAGATGACCTTAACTAACTAAAATTCCCAAAGTATGGGTTGCTAGATCCCGAGGCAAGGCTCACAAGATGTACGGCCTTATTGCATTGTAAGAACTTGTTTTGAGTTTCCTGGGTAATATGAATTGCTTCAATTGTGCCCCAAAAAAAAAAAAAAAACAATGGAATCAGTAACCTGCTTCCCAAAATACTACACCACTTTGAATACCGCATCATGTTTGTGGATAACTCCAACATATCTTAAACATAGCGTCTAGCCTAATTGATGATGTTAGAACATTATAAGTCAATAACATCAAACCTTCAAGTTTGCCGATCTACTAATGGTGAGAAAATCCCAACTGGAGAAAAATCCGTCATCATCCAATTATTGAACGACGACTAAACGAAAAACGTGTCATGTATTTGTTCTTTTGCTTCTGGGTTTCCAAGTTAAAAGGTTGTTTGTTTTGAAAAAATGGAAAAATTATTGGGGGTAAACAGAGAGGGGTAACCATCCTTGAAGAAATCCCCAATCTCTGTCGAATTTTATTTCTTTAATTCTAAGCTAATGGAGAAAAGAAACATCGACAGAGAAAAGAAAAGAGGAAAACATGTACAATAAATCAATCACCTTTCCAAAGACAACAACGACTACAACGTTCAGAGCCTAAGTATTAGCTTTTAACCTAAAAAAGAAAAAATAGATATCAGCTTATGAAAAGAGAGAAAAATAATACCTAAAAAACATGGATCTTGAACAATATTGACCCCACAAATTCCGAAGAGAGTAAAGTGAGTAAGACAAAATAACAATTGAAAAAAGAGAACGACGTGCTTTCACCTGAAAATAAATGGATCTTGAACAATCCTCAACCCAAATGTCGAAGACAAGAAGATTAAATTTCCAGAATAAATTTTCCAACAAAATAACAATCGCTATAACTGAAAAAAGAGAACGACATACATTCACCTGAAAAACATCAATTTTGAACAATATTTAACCAAAATGTCGGATAAAAAAAGATCTGGCCCCAGAAGATCAAAAACCTAGATCCTCACCCGAAGCTGGAAAAGAAAAAGAAGTAATCAATTCAGTTTATCCACAGAAGGAAAATAACTGCAGAAGGTTAAATCTTCAAAAAAAAAATAAAAAAAAATAAATAATAAAAAAAATTTGTCGGGAACAAATTTATAACAACAGCATCAAAACCCTAAATCTTCGAATCTAATATGTAAAGGAACAACGCAATATGCTTATGCACAGAAAGAAACTAACTTTCAGAGGATAAATCTTCCACTGAAATGCAAAAAAAGAATGAATAAGGATAGGCCCCCCAGGGCACATCCAAGTTGGCAGAACAATCACATTGGGGGGCTCTGGAACCAAGTGTGGGGAGTTCGATTCCTGGTTGGAGCAGCCAAGTGATGTAATAACCAGAGGAAGGGTTGGAGCAGCTTGGTGATGTAATAACCATGGAGGAGGGTCCCTTTGGGGAAGGAGTAAAAGCCATGTGGGAACCTGGGAACCAATAAGGGCACAACCTGCGATTTACCTCCACTAGTCACTGAGGGGCCGGGGGCTAGAGGTCCAGGATTTAGTCCGGCTAAGCTGGGACACCTGGGTTATCAAAAAAAAAAA